CGCCTGCTGTGCAAGCGCAAGGACCCGAGTTCGATCCCCGGTACCAAAAAAAAAAAAAGAAAAGTATAATTAAAGAAATAGCTTACAAAAATCACTTCATAGAAACAATACTTTCCTGAGCCTCACTCTATTTTTGGACTATGCCCCTTGCCAAAGGATGAAGAAATCTATTCAAGAACAGAAAACTCCTTATGTGCACCCTGGTTTCTATACCAGTGTCCAAGTACAGACTCAGGAATTCCTTGCCCTACCAGACCCAATCATATTATTAAAGCCTGCAAAGGGCTCTTTCCTGACATACTGCACCTCCAGTGTCAGAGTGCAGCTATTTGGAAGGGTGTTGTTACATCTGGGTCTAGACGTCCCTCCAAAGCCTCATGCTTTTTCAGAGGTGGCTGGATCTAGAGTGTATGATGCTGGGATTAAGGGTGTGCTATACCAGTACACTGGTTTGGTACTGCCCTAATCCCAGTAATCTGGATAAGATAAAAGAGGCAGGGGCCGAGGATTTAGCTGAGTGGCTATGCCTGCCTGCAAGGGCAAGGTCCTGAGTTTGGTCCCCAGTACTAGAAAATAAAAATAAAAAAAAAATAAAAGAGGCAAAAAAGATGCTCTTAAATTCACTTGCTTGCTTTTGTTGTCTTCCACCGCCATAAACTCTTGCTCCTCTGCCATGTGCCACCCTGCCTTGGATCCAGCCGATTATGGACTGAAACTTCTATAATCTGTGAGCTAAATAAACTTTTCCCCCTTTAACTCTGGCTGTCAGGTATTTTGTCTCAGTGATGAGAAAAGTAAGACAGGTGGTGTAGAGTTTGGACAGATGGACAGAACTGTTCATATATACATATGAGAAGTTCTTACTGCTGTAAGGAGCCAAAGGTGAGATGAGGTCATAGATTAGCTAGCTCTCTAGACTCAATGTTGTGGCACAGAATTCTTAAAGAGTCAAGAATTCTAAATTTGAACTTGGTCTTCTAGGTGATGATAGTATACTTGTCAAAGTACAAAAATAGAATATACTTATATAACAAGATTGTTAGCATTATAATTTAAAACATTTATACATCTATATGTACTGTGTTAGGTCCCGTAAGTATTAGGGATAGATATGTATGCTAATAATTGCCATAAAAGTTTTTATCTTCTTTATGTTCAGCAATACATTTGGGTTGTTTTCATTGAAAGCTCTTATCTGATAATTTCTTACCTGTTCTTTCACTGGAGTATTAACATTAGATAGGCACTGTTGGCAAACAGCCAAAAAGGATTTCACTGTTTTCCGCAATACCAACAAATCCTCCTGTAACATATTCAAAGATGCAAGCATGAATTACAGTATCCTAGCAAACTGGCCCCAAAATAAAAAAAATAGCTAAATTGGTTTATTGTGAACAAAATTTGTAAAGCTAAATTTATCATTGGGAATCAAACAGTATAGTTATTTTTTAGTATCTGGTCTAATGGAAATAGCAAAACTGACAATAACAAACATTCAGTTCTATTTAGTAATGGAATGGTCAGTGTAATTGCTCCCAAGAGATTTTTCTTTATAAATGTGGTTTACTTAGGCCAATATTAAAATTGTTAGTCAGTTCTATATCACTAAGTAGAGGTAAGATAACCAAGCACAATGGCACAGTGAATAAAATCATGTAAGGAATGTGTACTGAATATTGTAATCTCAACACACTGCACAAGGCTGGGGGAAGAAAGATAAATCTTCCTTGCAGTCTGGGATATATTTTAAGATTGGGTAGGTGAACAGAATTAAATTAGATGGCCAAATAATATTCCATAGGCAACAGCATTTGAAAAATATAAAGGAAAATCTCCTTTTCCTTCCTTTTTTTCTTTGGTGCTGGCATTGAGCCCATGGCCTTAGTATGCTAAGCACATAATCCACCACCGAACTACAATACTGCCACTGAAAGGAAAGTTAAATTCATCAAGCAACTACAATGTGTCGGGCACGGATTTGAGCGTTTACTGTTATATAATTTGATATTTATATAGATTCTATCACCAGGCTGGTGGCATGTGCCTGCATGTGCAGTTCCAGCACTTGGGAAGCTGAGGCTGGAGGATCACTGGAGCCTAGGCGTTTGAGACCAGCTGGCAACCTAGAGACCCTGCCTCAAACAGATACAGACAAAAAAACCTCTTCAAACGAACAAAAAGAATATCCAGATTCTAAAAAGTAGTCATTAATAGCAAGGGTTTGAAACCAGGACTACTGGTATCATAGCTCATCTTCTCCTAACAAACGAGCAACACACATGCAGATAATCCAATACTATACTGATATTTACAACAGTAGCAAAGAGTAACTACTTGAGCAAAAGCACATGTAGAATTCATTTTATTTATTTTGTGATACTAGGGATTGAATCCAGGGCCTTCTCACTGAGCTACATCCCCAGATCTTCATTTTTTATTTTATTTTGAGACAAAGTCTCACCACGTCATTCAGTTGCCCTTGCTGGGCTCAAACTTGTGATCCTCCTATGTCAGGCTCCCAAAATGCTAGGATTAGATGTGTGTTCCACCACACCTGGTCTAGAATTCACTTTAAAAAAGTATTCTATTAAACTAAAATTCTTTAAGCTATTCTGTTTTGTAGAGATGACAGCACTTACCGTTTTGGGATCTTTACAACCCAAATAATGGTACTTCAAAAATTGTACACATTTCCTTTTGCTAACACGAGTGCAAATATTTGGAAGAAAAAATGAGCTCATTTTGTGCAGAGTACACTCGTAAGAGTACAATTGCATTTTGTAAGAAAAATAGTGTTTTGAGGCTCTTTAATATTCCTACAGATGAATATTCAGTAATTAAACCTCAATATTCCTTGAGTGTCTTTAATTTCAAACGTTCACAATACATTAGGGAAAACAGGTAAGTACCAGGAAAATACAACAGATAGAGTGTAAAGTGCTTTGTTAGGAGGCTGCATGGGGCTTATGCTGGAAAACCCAACTGAGTCAAAAGTAGTTATAAAAGAGTTCCTAAAGGAGATAACATGTCCTGAAGCTCGGCCTAGAAAGACAAATATAACCTAACTATTGAGAAAGGATTCCAGATAGGACACAGTGTTCAAACACTTGGGGAAATTAGTGTTAAGTGTATTTGGTGCATAAAGAGGAAAGAGAGTGGCAAGAAAAAAAGCTAAAAAAAACAGGATCAATTTCCAATTAGATGGAAAGCCACTTAAAATGCCATATTCAATCATTTGGGTTACTGATGATAGTAAGGAACTGCTGAGGAAAGACTTTTATCATGAGTTACAAAATTTTGCGTACAGGACTCATATTCTAGAGACGAGTGTGGTGGTACATGCCTGTAATCCCAGCACTCAGGCTGAGGCTGGATAATACTGTAAGTTTGAAGTCAGCCTGGGCTACATAGTGAACTCAAGGCAAGCCTAAAGTACATAGTGAGATCTTGTCTTAAAACATAAAAAACAAAACAAAAATCATATTCTACACAAAATGGAGAATGTAGAACAGCCAGTTAAGGGTAGACACAATCTTTTGTTGAGAGTTTACTGTGTATATACCAAGTACTATGTTCCATGTTCATAAATATAAATCTCATAATCTCTGTGAAACAAATGGTAATATTCCCATTTAACAGACAAGAAAAGTACCCATAAATTCTTAGAGTAAGGATCTAAATAGAAGGCTGTGTCCTACTATGAAATATATATTTGACCTCTGTCCATTTGCTGGCATACAACCCCTAAACTCTTGGGACTTTCCAAAGTGTTGAGTGTCTTTCTGTATTTTAATGAGTTGATTGATCATTGGTATCCCCAATATAGCTTCAGGATGTGGTCTGGTAACTGGAAAGACCACAGCTTGATTAGAGGGGATAAGCCTTTCAGCACCACTCCTCAACTTCCAGGGAGTGGGGCTGGGGATTGAGTTGGTCATGAATGGACAGTGATGCAGTCTAGCACACTTAAATAATGAAGGCTCCATAAAAGCCCAAAAGGATTAGTTTCAGGGAGCTTCCAGGGGCAGGTGATGCACCTGAAGAGGGCAGGGAAGCTCCGAATCTCTTCCTTTATGCCTTCACCCATCCATCTCTTCATTTGGTATGTCATATCCTGTATAATTAATTAATAAATTTAAATAAAGTGCTTCTCTAAATTCTATGAGCCACATTAGCAAATTAATTGAAACCAAGGAGGATGTTGTGGGAATCCCAATTTGTTAGTAGGTCACTTAGAAGCATAAGTAAAACAATGTCGGACTTGTGAATGGTTGGAAGTGGGAGGCAGTATTGTGGGACTGTGCCCTCAATCTATGAGAGTCAACATTATCTCCAGGTCAATGATATCAGAACTGAATTACAGGACACTCTGCTGGTGTCCAATGCAGAACTGACTGATTTCCAGATGGGGAGAACTACTCACACTTCTGAGGTTATATAAGTATTTTTGTGAAGTAGGAGAGAGGAAATAAAGATAGGCAGAAAGGAGACAAAGAAACTGTAGCTTTAAGACGTGATCAGAGCTATCCAAAGTTACCCATTCATCTATTCCCAAGGCCTGTTTGTTCTTTCTTCCAGGCCCATCACTCCCCAGTTTCTAAGAATCTTAAAGAAAGTCCAGGACTGGGGATTTAGCTCAGTGGTTCTGTCGCCTGCCTTGCAAGTGCAAGGTCCCGAGTTAGATCCCTGGTACCAAAAAAAAAAAAAAAAAAAGAAAGTCCATAAATCCCAAAAGTTACATCAAAGACTTCTGTTGTGAAGGCTGGGGGCTGCAGCGCCGTGGTAGAGTGCTTACCTATCATATTCTAGGCCCTGGGCTCTATCCCCAGTCATATACGTGTGTGCACACACATATTTATTTAAAAAAGAAACAGTATATAAACCAAACTATTCAATTTGGTACATCCCTAAACTTCAAATACATATAGTTTATATTTTAACATAGCTGATAAAGTTAATTTTTGTTTTAATCCATTATAGGGCAACAACCTGACCTTCAAAGAAACAGACATGTCAGGTAACTGATAAATGATTTAAAAAATGTCTTTAGGCAAAACATCTTAGATCACCCATCTTAAGCTAGCTACCTGCCTGGCCACCACCTATCTAGCTTTCTCTATGTGCTGGTCTGCCTGCCTGCCTCCCCCTCTCCCCCATCCTTTGTGTGTGTACTGCCCTAACCCTGCCCAATAAATCAGTCTTTGCCTCTCACTGATGTGTCCTGAAAATATTTTCTGTGATAAATGTGAAGAATCTGTTTGGGCTAAGGTGAGGTCCCCATCTCCTTTTTAGAGGTAATTCCTTGGACCCTGTCTGGTAAGAAAGAATACAGAATAAACTAACTTTGGGGTTTTCATTACTATTCCTACCTTTGATGGCAATGATGGGATTTGCTAGAACAGCTCTGGATATGGATACATATGATTTGTTAAGAGAAAATATGAAAGGGTGGAAGATAAAGAAACTATGATCACTGAATGACTACCTAGTCACTCATAGGAAACTGCAGCTTTGCAGCATTCAGATACTAAATGTAAAAGTTACTAGTGGAATTTAGAAATATGGTAGAGATGTTAGATATACAGGAGATGCAAAATAGTAAGAAGCACACTAAACACAAATCCCTTGGTTATTATCTATAATAGCCAAAATGGAAGTAAAAGAGAGTACTGATCCAGGACTTGAGGCTAGACTAATCTCAGACGTCACATTACCTGAGCTCAGGCCACTAGCCTCAAAGCCACCCACCCATAAAGGGTAAGATTATTCAAGAACAAGGGAAAGTACCTGTAGGACCTTTTGGGTGCCAAGAAAATAGTTACTGTTAGGGCAGGGCAAAACCAAGAAATTACTGAGACCAAAGGGTAGAGTGTGAAGAAAATGTTTCAGTTTGTAGATTAGTATCTTTAGCTTCCCAAACAGATTTTGAGAATAACTAATTTAGAAGCGGTAGATCTGGATTTAAATGCTACAGAGTGGGAGACCGTATCTGGGTTGATGTCTGGGTTGATGCAAGACCCAGCGCTAAGCAATAATCACAGATGACTACATCTGATCCAGACACACAAGATGTTATTTCCCAAGGGAACAGCTGGCCTGTTGAACTAGATAAAAGCCATTGTAAGGTCTGTTTATTCTGAGAAGAGGGCCTGCTCAACTCCACCAGTAAAATGTCAAAGAGAACACTTCAGATGAAGCAGCCAATATATGGCCTTCAGATGCAGGCCATAGACTGGCTTTAAGGTGACTTGGATATTCACTAGCTGAACATGCCCATAACTCAGGTCATGGCAAATACTGTGT